GGTCTTTACATGCCATTTTCCTAGCTTGTTTAGCTTTATGTCTCAGATGAGCTTCTTTAGCTGTTTAGGTCTCAGATGAGCTATAAGTGATTCTTTACAGTGGGTCTCAGAGTTATGCCTATTCAACAGCGTGTAGTAAATGGTTCAACATGACCTCTTTCTTATATAAACATACAAAAAGCCTGACCCAGACTAAATCAGTTTTAAAAAGAAAAACATTAAAGCTGTATTTCTTGTTACATGCTTACGGTCGTCTTTGGTTGCTTAGAACGAGTCCAGAGGAGGGCCACCAGGATCATCCAAGGGCTGGAGCACCTCTCCTATGAGGACAGGCTGAGAGAGTTGGGGCTGTTCAGCCTGGAAAAGAGAAGGCTCCAGGGAGATCTTACAGCGGCCTTCCAGTACCTGAAGGGGCTACAGGAAAGCTGGGGAGGGACTTTTGACAAAAGCAGTTAATGACAGAACAAGGGGAAATGGGTTTAAGCTGAAAGAGGGTAGGTTTAGATTAGATATGAGGAAGAAGTTCTTCCCTGTGAGGGTGGTCAGACACTGGAACAGGTTGCCCAAGGAAGTTGTGGATGCCCCCTCCCTGGAAGTGTTCAAGGCCAGGTTGGATGAGGCTTTGAGCAACCTTGTCTAGTGGAAGGTGTATGTGCTCATGACAGGGGGGTTAGAACTAGGTGATCTTTAAGGTCCCTTCCAACCCAAACCATTCTATGATTCTATGATCTTACTGTGTTACTGACTAACTGTTGTATTCTACACCACCTACCGAAATGTCTAAATGGAATAGTGATCATCTTTCAGAAAGGGGAAGCAATTACAATCATAACCTCTACAGTACATTTCAGCTGGTAAGACAATGTTTATGCTCGGGTTCATAAGAAGTCATGAGTTTGGCTTACTCTGCTTCCCTGATTTTATTTGCTACAATGATTTTGAAAAGTGCAGAATTAAAAAGACTGCCAAGTTCATACATAGCATTTATGCTTAAGATTAAGCCAGTTCTGCTGTGGTTTAACTTGTTCTTATCCTTCTAGGAAGTATACAACTAATAAATTGGTGGCATACTTACAAAAAGTTGATACAGAAAACCAGAAAGGAGTGCTTATGGAAATACCTTTATGTATAAAATTTATTTGAGAAAAGGCTTTTGTATAAAGCTAGCAGATTGTACTTTCTGATAGCAACAGTCAGCTTAGTGGAAACATCAGGACATTAATAACTAATCCTCATGTTTTACATGTTTGTGTAAAACTATGTGTTTCTTGAAATCGGTAATCTACAGAAACACAATTTGTTCACTTGGATTTCAAAGGTCTACCTAAAGGATCAGAGGAAGAGTTTTGTATTATATGTATGAAGTTGTTAATAGCAGGAAAAAAATGAAAGCACAGTTTTCATGTCAGCATGAAAGTATTGGGCTGTGATATCCCAAAGCAGTACAAACATTATGCAGTCCGTGAGATTTTAGAAAATTAATTGGATTAAATAAAAAAGATCAAATGGACCAATCTTATACCAGCAATGCGCTAGTACCTTTGTGATAGTTTCACTGGACTAGCCCTTGGCTAGCAGCCAACACAGCCATTCACCCACTTCCCCCCAGGGGGTAGGGGAGAGGACTGGGGGCAAGGATTAGGAGGCTTGTAGATTGAGATAAAAACAGTTTAATAATAGAAATAAAAGAAAACTTAAAAAAAAAAAACAAAATAAACAACTAATATTAAAATAGTAGTGATAATGATAACAGTAATAAGATATGCAAATGAGTGATAACCCAGTGCAACTGCTTACCACACACTAATAAGCCCGGCCCATTCCCGGATAATGATCCCAGAGGAGCAACAATCCCGAACCGAAACCGCGATCCCGGAAGAGC